ATTGCGTCGCCGCCGCCCGCCGCCCCTCGCTCGGCTCCTCCGCGGCCTCGTAATTCCTGCAGGGACTTAAGATTGGCCAAATTAACCGACCTGCTGAAGAGGCAGAGCCAGGCCAGCACCCAGGGGTTGGGCAACCCCGCGTGAGGCCACCCTTTGGAGCCTCTCGACCTCAGTTTCTGCATCACTCTTATGGGAACAATATATACAACTCTCGCTGCCCCGCTAGCTCACAGAATCGTTAGGATTAAATGGTATAATGTATTTGAACTGGATAGCACTATGCATTTGAAGATTATTTTTAGGGGAAGGCGGTGCCAGAGATCTTGTCCCTACCACCTCTAAATGGGGTGTGCAGCACTCCATAGGCAAGAGGCCCAGGCAGGGGACAGTTTCCTGAAATCATTAGATTGTGAGCTTCATGGAGGCAGGCAGTTTATCTTCCTCTACTACACCTACTCTCTGGCTATTGTCAGCGCAGTTCCCTAATCGTGTTCTCCACAGTCCAACCTGATGAGCCTAACCAGGCTCTTCTGAAGTTCACCCCAAGACTGACATACAGAAAATCTTTACCATTCCTCCCTCCCTGGTCCTCGCTTACTCTATGCCCACCTGCATCTTCCTCCTCTTATCAAGTTTACAAAGGAGAAATGGAAGTGGTGTAGAGTAACAGGAAAAATTCCAATGGGCAAAGATCGAAAATTCCCACGCTAGGAAATTCCCACTGGAAACCTTCCCTGCGGGCTAATCATGCTCATTGCTGCTGTAAAATCGCCCCCATTTTCCCTGGGTTCCTTCTACAGTGGAGACAATCTGAAAATTGTCTAGAGGGCTGTGCCATCAACACAGATACCTACCTGCGTGCAAAGGTAGCACTGAGTTCCTCAGGAGTTAGGCTTGTATCCCTCTACTATTTTATTCTTAATGAGATGTAGTAAATCAGATCCAGCGGAGCACTAAGCACTCACATTTACCTCCCCCTTCCCTCCAGTTCTTTCCCCCTAGCATCCTATTTCCCACTGATTTTCCTAACAACCTTACCTCCCATGTGCACCAAAGCTCACATTCCAAGGGAAGTCCACCTGATTTTGCCTCAAATTCTTCCCAAGGAGGAGCTCTCTGAATTGCAGTTTGCTCAGAGAGAGAAATCCAGAGCCCTCCCCCAGGCACGTAGGCCGCAGATGTGGACCATATAAGGAAAGATTTAGAAAAAGGATTCCAGACTTTCCAACCTTCCCTTCTTCCTGGGAATCATCCTCTCCCCACATTTCAAGGAAACCTGCACTGGCCGGGGTGGTATGTGGGAAGAAACTACCTGAATATGTAACCCCAAACCCAGTGCTCCAGAATTCAAATTCTAGAGTCAGGTGCTCTGCAGCTAGACCTTTGCAGGCTGTGTGAGTGTAGATTGGGGCAGGAGGAGAAACCAAGAAGAGATGATTTAAACCTTAGAGGCACCCCCACATTTATTTTCTAGGAGGAGTCAGGGGACCCAGGGTCCGGGAGCCCCAGTGCAATGGCGGATTAGGGTCTTTCCCTCCCCAGACAATGGGCTTCCCTTTCTCTCCCTGCAGCCCATGATGTCCTCAAAAAGTGATTTCTAAGTACTGACAGGCTCAGAGACCCCAGGTCTTGCCGAAAAGTACCTGGATCCCACTTATCCTAGTTTCAGCCTCACATTTGGGCTTCTAGATGTTTTCTTGGGGTATCGGGCAATCTGACCTCTAGTCAGCCTACAGACCTCTTTGCCTAGGGGTGGAGAAGGAACCCCAGATCTGATCACTCCCAGAACTCTCTTGCTCTCTAATGCCCCTGGGGGTCTGGGTGAGCCTTACTTTGATTGTGTCTCCTCTCCTGCCTTCCTCAGTGGGGGCTGCATTTTTATCAATGGGGGGAAAAGTGTGAAATTGTTACCTCTATCCCAGGATCAAAGATTTGATTTTTGCACCTTCCCCTCAAAAAGTCCTGTTCCTCCAGCCTATTCTTCTTTATTTCTTGTGCATGCTCTGACCTGTTTCCCCAAGATCCCAGTGCCACATTTTCCTGGATCTCCCTTTCTCCTTCTATGAAGTGCTGGCTAGCAAGGGGGCTTATTTTTTGGAAGAGGATCTGGGGAAAACTCCCTCAGGAACCAGCTCATCTCAAGCCCCCATTGCCTTGGATATAGGGGCCCAAACCCAAGTCCCCCACAACTCAACTCACAGTGTATGGAGAGGAGAGCAGCCGGCAGCAGAGACCCCTGGAGGGGAACGTCCATGCCCCTGACACCGCCCTCAACCCCAGGCCCCCTTGGAGGGTGGGAGCCGCAGACACTGCTGTTTCTCCTAAATGTAGCAGCAGCTCTGACTAGGACTTGCTATCTGTGTCATCCCCACTTCCCAGGCTCCCCTGCTCCTCTCCTGTTTCCACAGCAACCAGTCTGGTGACAGCTCTAGAGCATCCCCCTCCCCTCCCCAGTCCTGGGTACCACTAGAGGCTGAGCCACATGCCATCGCTATTTTTAGCCAAAGTCCCTCCTCTTGGACAACTCAGAGCTTGCCTCCTCACTCCCTCAGAAAAAGAAAGAAAAAGCCAGCATGCTGACTCTTTCCTAGGAAGCTCCTTGCTCTGGGAAAATATAGGCTCCAATATGTTTGGGAATAAGGTGTTTAGTTCCTGGGGATTCAAAGGCCATCTGGAAGCTGGCAGCTCATCACCTCCAACAGGGGCCTCTGGGTGCAGGTGCTGTTCTTGGGTCAGGTCCACCATCATGGTCTCCATTTTTGGGAAGACTACCCTGACCCAGAAAGAGGTACTTACAGGGAAAAGAGATCCACCAAGGAAGGGAAGCAGGGTAAGGAGTTTTAATCTTTGTCACTAATCTGTGATGTGACCCATAGGAGTCACTTAACTTCCCTTAACCACAATTGTATCTATTACAGGGTGTGGATATGTGCAAATAGCCCCCTTCTGCCTACTTCACAGGTGTGCAGATCAAATGAGGTAATATAAATAGAAGGGCTTTGAAGTGTATTTTATTAATAACAAAAAGTCTAGAAATAATCCAAATCTCCAATAGAGGGAAAAGGCTAGTTTAGGGCTCACTAACTATTCATTCAACAAACATTTACGGAGTCCAAGTGCCAAGCAATGTTCTAAGTGGGAGTGGTTACAGAAATGAATAAGTCTCTGCCTGGAGGAGCTCACAGTCCAATGAGGAGAAAGACACCGAAACACATAATATTAACATGACCACTAATCATTTGTTGATCATCAGCTATGATGTAGATATACACCTCATTCAAAAACCCTATGAGATGCCCTATGAGACAGATATTATTTTCTTCATTGAGAAAACTAAGACTGAGAAAGGTTAAGTGATTTATCAGATATCTCAGAATTTAGATAATGGCAGAGATAGTAGTCAAACTCACACATCTTTGTCATCCCCCCCCCCCATGCTGTTTCTAGTTATACTGCCTCAGTAATGTAATATTTGTGGCATATCAATATAATAGGATACTATGCATATGTGCATGTAGGTACACTGATATATGAAAAAGCAGAACATAAAAATATTCTTATAAATTGAACCTAACTTCATAAAAATAGCTGCAGGAACACTGATAAAAACCAAGGGAAAATTTAGGTGACTGGAAATACTTCGGTGTTCATTTTCTCCAGGGAAGTAATTAAAAGCAGAAAGTGGTATACAAATGCCAGGTATTATTATCAGTGTTATTATACCCAAGATTTTGATCTATTCTTCTCCAGATTCCTTAAAGTCAAAAACAAGAAAATATGAGCTAGAGAAGAGCAGGAAGAGATAGAAATGGACACCAGAGGGTTAGAAGTTCCTGAAATGAACTCCCAAGATGGGATAGGTGGTACTGAATAATACGATTTCTGGAGGCAGTGACCTGGGATCAAATCCCAATTCTGTCTATTACCAGCTGGGTGACTTTGAGCAAGCTATTTAACCTCTTTAAACAGTTTCTTTACCTAAGAATTGAGACTAACTGTATTACTCATCTCTTGGGGTTGTCGTGAGGATTACATGAGGCAATGCCTGGCATATTGTAAGTGCTCTGTAAATGTTCACTACATCTTCATCCTTCTCCTTGTCATCATGCTCATCATCCCAGGCATCTCCTGAAATCTCCATCCAGCCTGCGTTGCCTTTCTCTGTCCTGGTACCACCCAAGGAGACCTGCAGGGGGCACTCCTGGTACATGGCCTTCCTCTCCCCAGCCCTCTTGCCCGTGTTCCTTGTTCCAAGTGGAAATATCGAGTTTTCAGCCGAGATTGGCATCAAGAGGGCTGTTAAAGCCCCAGTCAACATCCCCGACTTCTGGTCCTGGTCCTGTCACCTGAGCCTTGGGACTTCTAGTCTGCTCCTCTCTGTCCTGCCAAGCAGCTGCTCACGTTGGTTCCGCTGTGCCAGGAGCTCAGAGAGAAGAAACCAAACTCCTGGGCAAGAACGCATTTGCATAGAACTGGCCCCATTTCCTGAAGGGGGGCATCACAGGACTGGCAGGGCCTTCCAGAAGGTAGATCAACCAGCCCTCTGCCTCAGTCCTGAGTCTAGCCTAACTGACAAGGAAGAAGGCCACCACCCTCTCCCCTGATTTACTGATCCGGCAGATTCTAGATTTTACCTGGTATATAACCTCAATTCCTGTTTATCATTGAGCTCGAAGAGAGGAGGGAAAAGAAAGTTTTCTTTGGTACCAGTACGCAGAAAAATGGGCAAGATCCCAGCTTTCAGATATTATGAAATAAAGAAAGTAACTTCATAAGGAATCAATATAATATATCAGTACAGTTGTGATGCTGGGAGATTGGGTTTGGAACTGGGGAATACTGAGGGCAGGAGGGCACAGCTGGGGCCACATAACTGGTTTATGAAGACCCTTGGTACAGACTTCTTTGGGCAGATGTGTTCCTTATGGCATGTAGCTTGGAGAGAAGGTGGTACTTTGAGGCAATACTACTACTATTACTACTACTACTACTACTACTACTACTACTACTACTGCTACTACTACTGATGATGATAATAATAGGACTCATTCCAGCTGACATAGCTCTGAGCCACAGCGCAAGAATTGGTAAGTAAATGCAGTTCAGTTCTCAACTTGCCCCCTCAGCGGGCGACCTTGTGCAGTCCACAAACTGTACAACTGTGTATGGAAGCCCTGGAATCAACCAATCTGTGAAGCTTTTCATGAACAAGATCATGAGACTTCTTGGGTAAAAGCTTGGAGGTGGGGAGGAAACATGATGAGGAAAACAGCAGATGGTTGAGGATATGAGTATAATGGAGCAGGGAGGCCTATCTGGTAGATTATAACAATATCTATAAATTCAAGGGAGTTGAGACCCTAGAAAACTCCAAGCAGAGAGAGGATATGGCTGAAGGAGTGGATGTGGCCAGAGGAGATTAGAGTGAAATGAGAGAAGCAGGGGACAACTCCAAGACAGATGGAACCCCACTGAGCTCCTGAGGCCGGGGGGCTTGCTGGCTTTCTGGTGTTTTCAGCAGAGCTAGAAGATGAGAAGACTTCTCATACATGGCTCTATCTTGCTTTATAGGATTGCATGGTGGTAGACCAGGATTTACAAGCCATGGCTTTTAGAGGTAGTCCAGAATTAGTCCTCACTTTACAGGCAAGAGATGTGTCCCAAGAAAACAGACAGCACTAAGACTCAGGACTCCTGGGTCCTGGTCCCTTGTTGTTTATTTCTTGTTGCCTTTTTCCTACCTCAGTGCATTGGTGTTAGTGGAATTTTATCCATCAGACTCAATTGGAAAGTTGTTAGAGGAACCACCTAGTTGAAGATATTCTGGAAAGAATCCTTTAGTAATGTGATTAGGCATACCTTGATTTATGTCTTATAAATGTGAGTTTGTGTAGATTGCATTTACTGAAAAGAGGCAGTATACCTAAATAATGATCCTCAGTGACTGAGGGGTGGGGGTTGTAGTTCAGCCCATCTCTTAGATTTCTCCTCTGTAGTATGAATCATGAATCATCTAGCTATGAGGCACCCCAATATTCATGGAAATTATTCAGCCTTGTGGGGCCTGAACACTAAAATATCACTTGGAATCCTGTGGTGAGCATTGTCAGGGTCTCTACTCTTTCCAGCCAACTCCTCTGACTGTGAAATGTTGCCTGTTCTGAGCCTCGTCATGCTTCCTGACCCAAAGCTTCCCTCATCCCTTTGCCCACACCTGCTTCTCCCAGCAGAAGCCCCTCTTGTGGATTTTCCTTCCAGAACAGGTTACTCACCCCTGCTCCCCTCCCGCATGCTCTGAGGGAACCTGCCACATTACAAACAAGGTGAAAGGAGAGATGAGGCCAAAGTTGGAAAGAATGAGTTTGAAAGAAGCGGCCAAGAATAAGAAAGACGTAACTTTCTAAACTGAGAGAAGAGAGGGAGGTCCTCAAAGAAAGATGGTTCCCCTGACTGCCATTTTGTGTAGTGGACACTGGACATCACAATCCTGGCAAATTTTTCATGCCACATATGCTCATGTTGACGATGATTATGTTTAAACCATGCAGATTCACCCTAGTATTACACTGAGACAAGCTTTGGAGCCAAACACACATGGATTCAAGTTCCGAATCTAACAAATTTCTACCTATGTTACATAGACAAGCCACTTACTCTCTCTGAACCTCAGTTTTCCCATCACAAGTAATATATTTATCATGCATAGTAAACACTCACAAATACTAATTTCCTATGCTCTTTTATCATTGATTCCCTATTGGGACCCTAGTGACTATTCTAGGATTTCTCTTTTGCAGAAAACTCTAAAAATTAAAAACTGACATTTGATATGTACAAAGTATATTCCTTTGTACATGATACATGATGGATGGATGTATATATGTTATAAAACATAATTTAAGGACAAAAACTCAAATTACTTTTACAATTAGAATTACTTTTACAATTAGAAAGCTATAGTGCCATTCAAGCTATCTGTGCACTTTTCTACAATCTCTTACCCCTGCACTTCTAGAATGTCTAAACTCTTTCTAATTGCCCAGCCGCCCCCCCACCCCGAGTTTTAGTAAATGACTCTTCTGCTCTACAGAAAAGGTAAAGACCATTTGGAAGGAACTTCCCTAGAGACTTCTTCTTCACCACAAGGTATCTCTTTGCGCTCCCTGCCTTTGATTCTTCCTTCGCCCTCTCAGAGGAGTACCCCAAGTGCTGAGTTAAGGAGTTTGAACTGTGACCAGTAAGCAAATGGCACCTGTTTGGAGTTTTGCTACAAGGGCACAGGGACTGACATAATGAATACAGGTTGCCTTTTCCTTTGAGACTAGAAAGAAGGGTGAAGGGTGAGTCAGTGTCCTGGGGTGCTAGTGATCTTCCTGATCCTGGTAGTAACTCTGGTGAGAGGTGATGGTGCTCTGGACCACAGCCACGATGATGAGATTGAGAGGAAAGGAACAAGATTTAGGTGATTTAGAAAAATAGAGACACTATTTAGATAAGGGAGATGAGGTGAGGAGGAATGAAGAAACTAGGGATTGCTGTCATATTTTTCCCGTCATTCAAACCATCTTGCTTACCTCCTGATTAATTTTTCTAAAATTCCACTATGTTCCCCCCTCACCCCCATCCCCCGTCCCCCTTGAGAATGTGCAATTGCTGTCCATTGCCTTCAGAGGCTCAGGGCTGCCCAGGAACTGGCACAGCTCAATATTTACTGCAAGTCTTCCCCATAACACACTCTGCCGGTGGTGCCTGATCTGTAGCCCAGTACCTCCCCCCTTAGGTGCAATTTGAAATGTACATTTATCCGTCATATGGCTTTTAGAGGCTGACCTAAGCTAAAAACGTCAAGTTTCTTTGCTTTTTTTCAAGATATATATCAACCCAATATGATAATACTGATTAGTAGTTAAATATCTATGATGAACAAACACGAGGAAATAATTATTTTCTTCATTAATAGATGCCAAGGGTTGGAGATTGTGAATAAACACCTCTCAAAACATGGATTCTGATGATGATGAAGTCCTTGGTGGTGAAAAGGTTGACAAACACCACCACCCTGTCCTCTAGTCCAATGGACCAGCTTGCTGCAGTTTTCCAAGCAGACTTATATTTTCATTTCCCCCCTAAGACTTTGTGAATGCAGTCCCTCTGCCTTAAATGCCCTTCCCACCATCTCCCAGTACCTAAGTCTTCTGCATTCTCATAAGGGCCCTTATGAGATGTCACCTGTGTCCTCCCACATCTCGGAGGACCCCCTAAGTAGAGTGATCTTTCCCTCTCTGCAGCCTCCAGCTCCCTATCTCTCTTTCGAGACCTAGTGTTACATCTCGCATCCAGGACCTCACCCAGTACTTAGGGAATGGTGAACAACATGGAAATTGTGCTGAACGATATAACCCTGTAGCCCTCGGAGCCCAGCCCCTGTCCACCCCACTGGGCTGCCCTGAATGCATTTCCAGCTCATTAACTTGGCCCAGGCCTGCCCCCGCCGGCTCCCGCTCTGTTCCCCACTCTGAAACGACCTCCTCCTTCTCTCTTCCCTGTCATCTTGCCAGCGCAGCTTCTATCGCTTCGCGGATCGTCTCATCGTTTCTCTTTCCCCGGAGCCTGTCTGCGTCTCTGTCTTCGGGTGTTGAGCTCTGCCCTGCGTCTCTCTCCGTCTAGGCTCCGCTCCGGAGCGCCCTACGCCCCGCCCCCTGCCCGAGCACCTCCAATCCCGGCAGCGCGGGCCTGGCGCTCCACGCTCCCATTGGCCGGTCCGGAGACCCCCCCCCCCGCCTCGCCCGCCTGGCTCCCTCCTCCAGGCCCTCCATTCACACAAAGTTTGGCTCCGGAGTTGCGGAGGGAGGGGGCGGCCCGGCCCGGCCCAGCTCTACCCCTAGCCGGCCCGACCCCGGCCCCGGCCCCAGGACCAGTCCTTATCTGATCCCAGCTCCGGTTTAAGAGTCCTGGCCCTGACCGTCACACAGCTCGTTTCCTCACTCCTGCCCGCCCCGTCTGTCTGTCTGTACCACTACCCATCCGAGGGGCTACTCCACCCGGACCCAAGGTAAGTCCCCGGCCCTGATGAGGGAGTGCTGCCGCTTCCTCCGGAGTCCTGTCCACTTTGCTCTCCAGTTATAGGGGCCACAA